ATATTTTGTATAATACCTTCCGTTAATATCTTCTTCGTTCTTCAATTATTGCATTTTGAAAAATGCAGACAAAAAATGAAATAAGATCAATGCTTTAAGTACCACTTAGTGCAGTAGAAGAATGTTTCCCCTTATTGCGATTCAGGCAGCAACAATAGTTTCGACCACAAAAACACGCAATATAATGTGATAGCTTTTTTTTGCGTCTGTTTGTTTATTTATTTGTCAGAGATTTTTCAGAAGTTGAAAAGCACTTTAAAAAATGTGGTGACCTTGTTTTTTACAGGTTAATGACTCCCCTTGCCCTTCCCCTCCTCAAATTCCCTGGATATCCCCATGCACTGAATTTGGGGGAGGGGGAATCCCTCAATGCTTTACATGACTTTTATTTAAAATGTGATCATCTTCTCTTTTTTTTATCCACGAACCGATATTATTTTTTATTCCGTGATAATTTTCTGCTAGCGTTTTAGAATTTGGGCTGGGGTTGCGATTTGCAATTGCTGGATCCAGCGTTGCATTATTGATTTGATTTAATTTTACATTGTTTATTAATACAACCCGTTGCTGCTACACAGGATGAATTTCGATTCATGTTTAATTGCATGTAGTAGAGATGTGCGTTTATGGCACAATATACAATAACACTGATATTGATTTAATATACAAATCATACCCAGCAGTAAGAGTATTAGTAAGGATTACCCGCACAAGGTACCTTTGGAACAGCCTAGCACACCGAGGCGGTAGCCGAGGGTGTTTGGACTGTTTTGAAGGTACCGAGTGTGGGTAATTTTACTATTGCCCGAACAAAATGCTGTGTATTATTTGTTTTATAAAATGATGTTTTAATTTTTATATAAACTGATGTTTTATCACATGATTTTAGTTATTACCTGTCATTAGATTGGATAATTACCGGTCGTTTTTTGTTATTTAAACATTTAAATATATATATATTTCATAAATAATTAGATATTTTTTGAAGTAATTTTCTCACACCTGCTGAACTCCACCCTAAAAAATATGCTCCAGATCTCATTCATCTTGAGTCATCATCTGTCAATCATTAGTGAGCTAACGAGAGACAGGGGTTTGTAACTTTCTCCAGATCAGCACACGCTCACAAAAGAATTGCATCTTTCATACAATACCTCCATTTATATTTTTTGCCTATTCATGGCACTGGGAGGGGGTGAACGCTTTAGGTGCGGCTATCATGTGCTATACAAACATCTCTGTCATGAGACAACAACTTAAGCCTGAGTGGAGGGTCCATGGTAAGCATTAGGAAATCACCAGGGTTGGGGAACTGTTTGTTATGCTCCGGCCGGGTCAAATGCTGTAAATGTGAAATAATATCAGGTTCAATTATCAATATTGTCCAGATAATAGGAGTACACACAAAAAACGGAACAAAGTATTGTGAGTAAAAATCGTAGCAAACTCATTTAGTCGAGAGAATATATCTAATAAATGCATTATTTTGGTGATTACACCTCACCTTTCTCTTAGTGAAATTTTACACACATGATATTTAAAACGAGTATGTGACCCGATTTTTTTCTCGATGAGTGTTTTAGTACATGTAAGTTAAGATTAGTATTCTTCAGCTTTATTGACCGAATGAGTTAAGATATTCACAAGTGTGTGGAGTGATTTTTTGCTCCCTAATATGTCACAGACTCTTTATTCGCTGGATGAGTAAAAAAAAAAAAAAAAAAAAAAAAAAAAAAAACTCAGTTTCTTCGAAACTCATCTTAGGAGCTATCTTACTCTTTGCATGCGTGTAAATATTTTGCTGATGAATATTCGTACGCGTTCGTGATCGTACGTACGTAACCGATCGTCACGTTTTTAGCGGCCGACGAGCCACAGAATAAGTGTAAGTAGATTTGATTTTTCTTAATTTTTGAATCAGTTAGTAGTATTAAAGGGGATCCCTTGAATTTTATTTAGACTTTTTCTAAAACAAGTTAAGGCTACCGATTAGATATAGAATCTAGATCTAGTGCTGAAATTGTTAAGCTCTTCTTGTGCACGACCGAAGTGTATGGAGTGCATGGCGAAGGACTTCCATTTTTACAGTGACAAACATATATAAATCACAATTTTACTTCATAATGCTCGTTCGAGAATATATGAGAACCCGCCGCGTCCGCGCATGTACAGATCATTATCTATTCGCAATTTTTCTCAGTGCAAAACACTAGGATTTCGTCGCACAGAATCATTCGAAATCTCCGCAATCGAACGTTATTCGATTTATATTAGATATACATTTAATGATTGGACCTCGGTCTTTATTACAACATGTCAATTTGTACTTTTGTGAATCATCTTGGTGTTTTTTTATCGTATTTCTCGACATGGAAATACATGGTTTTGACGCTACAGTGACCGGCACCACTGACGACACCTCTGCCGACAGCTCCGGCGCGGCCGGGAAGGATCAGCGGCAGAAACAGGGCTGTACGAACGGCGATATAATCTAAGTGACTGAGTAATTGAAGCATTACTCACTAGTTGAGTTGGAGCGATTTACTCACAACATTTGGTTAAATAACTCACTTATTTAAAATACTCATTTGCCATGTCACTATAATGTCAAATTAACCAAACTCATTCCTGTGCGTTATTAAACTCAATTTAAAGAGTTAAGGCATTCAGTTAAGTGCGCTGTTTGTCCCTGTTGTTATTGCTTCACTACTTGTGTACAATTTCGCTTTCACATGGCTCGTCAATGTTTCAAAGGTCGCTGACGAAGTCCTACGTCAGCAATTACTGGCGGGGGGGGGGGGGGGGGGGGGCTGCTGCCCCATCCATTCCAAAAATAAATTCAAGACTAAACAACAAAGGAAAAGGAAATGGAAAGGGAAATGGGACGGCAGATGGGAAAACTATTTATAAAAAAGAAAGGAAGAAAGACAGAAAAAAGAACAAAAAAGAGGAATTATAGATCCCCATTACTTATTTTTTTGTAAACCAATGCCACTTTCTTTCGAAACTAATGTAGGAAATTGGATTTATACGTATTTTTATGCAAATGACTTTGTATAATTTGCATAAAACTGCCGTTAAAAATACGGTGAATGAAATGTAGTTCCTCGATTTATAAGTTTGTTTTGTTATCTTGAGGAATAATTGTTATATTGTGAGTCAATGTAAAAAAGGAATAAGATTGCATATAATGTGTAATAACTAAAAATAATGTTTACTTCATTCAAACGGTGTTAGTACAAGAATAACAAAAAGAGGAAGGATATTTTGTTCATAGAATTGTGAAAGGTCCTTGTAGGTGGTCGCGGGAATCTGCCTGACATAGCAGATACGTAGGAGACATTGCATCTTGTCATGGGCTGAGGATGTTGTGCGTGTGTCGGGCCGTGTGTTTAGTGTGCAACGCCCTTGTTTCATTTTCCACCTTTGGAAAAAAAAAAATGCTTGTGAGGTGCGCTAGAAGCTGCCAGGTGGTCTAGGTGGGACTGTGTTGCCTAGATGTTGGGAGCCGGGAGTTGTGCCGGCCTGTAACCTCAGAGACCTTGGGATTTTCTTTAACTGCTGATCTATATTACTGCTGATGATCTACCAATAAATGGGCTCATCACCCAACCTACAATCAAGCTGCATATGGTCGAGTTCTTTGTGCCTGCCTTATCCGTATTACGACACTAATTCTATCGGTTCCATTAAGTATACCGATCGAGTCGAGGCATTAATATTTGTATGGCTCATTATGTCTTGTCTTTTTGGGGCCTATCTTCTTACCAAATTTAAAGAATGCCAAGTCCATGCCTTCTTAATAGGTACACAAGGAAAATGCATTTTCATTATTATAGGAGGCCGTCTGTTGTAATGTTTATGTCTATGTCTATCGTGCCTGAATACATCATTATCCTTCAAATACAAGAAATATTCATTTAATCAATATTTACCTACAAGAGAAAAAGAACTCTTCTCATACTCCTCATAGCCCTTTTACAACATACTATATACAATGGAATGTTGTTTTCATGGGGGATTGTCCCCCCTATCCCCTCGCCCGCATATTTGATAGGGGAAAGAGGAGTAAATGAGTAATAATTGTGGAGCTCCAGCAGAGTAAAGTCTGACAGACATATGAGCACTACACAAGAACCCAATTTTAGTATTACAGTTATTATTACTGTTATCATTACTATTATTATCAGTATTATTTATATTTTTTTTTAATTATTACTTGTATTGTTATTTTATTATTATCATTATTATCTTTATTATTTATAATTACCGTAGTTATTATTTGTAGTATTATATTAGTTTTATTGTCATCATCATCATCATCATCATTATCCTTATTATTATTATTATTATTATTACTACTACTATTATTAATACGATTATTATTAGATGGAAGAGGAGATTCCCCCCGATATTGGAAGAAAAAAAAAAATCGAAAAAAAAATGTGTATATCATGCAAAGACCAAAATTTAAAAAAGCTAGGTAACCCCCCCCCCACACACACACACACACACACGCACATACATGCAGGGGCGGATCTAGGGGGGGGGGCGTTTCCGCGCGGTTTAACCCCCCCCCCCCCCCCCCCCCCTTGGGCGGCCAAGCGAAAAAAAAAGAAGAAGTAAAACAGTAAAACGGCGCGATTTTTGGAAAAAGATTTGGTCAACGCCCCCCCCCCCTCCCCCCTTGGCAAAAAGCTAGATCCACCCCTGACATGTATAATTAACGGATTAATACCCAAGTTGTATGCGTCGCGTTCCTGGTACTAAATAAATTCATTAATCCTACTGCCACGAATGATGCCTCGTCTTCTGCCCACCTTCGGTCACACCATCGCCAACCCCACTCAACATCGACTCCAAACCGACCGAATTTTAGCCATTCGGGGTGATGTCATTTTGTGATAGGTCTTTTGTCGGTGTGACTGAGGTGCGAAGTATCACTCGTTCTATTCACAATATTACACACCTGCGATATGTTACGACACAAATTACAATGCTTTACGCAAAGCTGATACAATTCATTTATTTATGATACAGCATTAGAATCAGTTCTTTGAGATTGTTCAACAAAACAAAACAAAAGAATGAAGGGACAAAATGCAAAGGGGCGAAAAGTTAATACATTCTTCGTAATTTTTCTGTGACAATACTCTTGCAACATGGAATTTCAGAAAAGTTAATAGGGTATTTGAAGATAAATTCAGTGTTCCCAAGACTATTTAGAATACATAACGTCAATCTACAAATAGATTATATAAAGCAACGCCATTGTTCACGCTGTTTTCAAAAGTGAATTGCCAATCCATTTTCGACCAGTAAACGTGGCATATGGGGTACGCCCTCTTCCCTCGCGCCCCCGTCTGAAGTGTTTTGTTAGGCCTTAGTGTGACATGTGTGTTCAAGTTTAGGTTCAATTTTAATTTCAAGCTCAATTTGAAGTTATTGTAACATTAAAAATAACAAAATAAAACAGCGATAAACTTTCACATAAAAATGTCAATAGTCGAAATTTGCACACACAAACAAAAATCAATATACATGCAAATATATTACATACATGTAGTACTCATAATAAACAATTCAGTTCAAAGTGTGAAGACTTGTTTTTACCAAAGGCATAGTATATCAAAGAAACACGTTAAAAGCTAACTGGCTCATGGATCATAGGTTCATTGAAAGGATTTGCCCAGTATTATGAATCACACTGAAATTAAATATCTGCAATTTAGTACCACTTGTGGGTTGTAACAGCCTTGACAATACAGTACGTAATATTTTATCCCCCCCCCCACAAAAACAACAACAACACCGCCTCGGATTTGCTGCGGCATGACTGAACGAGACTTTGTTGTGCATTTTTTTTTTACAACTCCGGCCTCGTCATGGATCCGCCCCTGTTCTGTAGGACTATACATTGCGGGATGCATTGTAACCCTTTCGTACAGCTCACGTACATTGTGATTATTTGCTGATCAACTTCTGGGCATGCAGCTTAATGGTACTTCCTAAACATTAGAAACCCGGAAAACCTTTTCAAATAATTGACACATTGTTCAATAGAAAATTCGGAAGCAAGGTTTACCACACATACTCCTCTGATAATTGTTCCGCGATCACTTTCCTACACTGACCAAGCCTATGTCACACTAGGGGCACGACCGACTGCCGACTTCTGACTACCAAATACAAGCTGTGACCATCGAAAACCCATTTGCAAGAAGTTAATATGGGCGATCGATCAGCTGTCGATCGGTTGCCGAATGTTGTACGAAAATGGTCCGATTATCAGATATTTTCGTAAATTCATTTGCGACTGCTCGTGGAAATGCTGGCGAATGATTGGCAGTTAACAAGCAAATGGTCGGAGAATAATGGCCGATTGCAAACTTTATAATGGGGGAGGGGTTATATATTATAATGACTTGTGCAAACATGCATAAGGAAATAACATTTCTTACTCATTATTATACCTAATATGTAAATGTAGTGTGATTTCAGATTTCAGACTATCAGAGTTTCTACTCGGTGTTCGGCAAACGCATCGAGAGTATTCGGCGACTGATCGTTTATCATTCGTCGATCAGCTGCCTACCTTTCCTCAACCAATATCGCCTGGTAATAGTCGGCAAGCACTGGGGATAAGTCCGTGATCAATATGAGAACGGTTGCCTTACCCTTGGAAGACCAAGAAAAAGCCTTTCAACAACCAGCTTGGTCGGGAAAAGGTTTCAGATGCAGTAACGTAAAGCTCCAGCCTACCAAAATGCTACGGAGACCAACCGCCGACCCCTGAAAACACAATTTAAAGATGGCTAAAACCCTCTCTGCAATATCTAAGAACTCCTGCCCAATGGTTGTCTTTGCAAACTGATGCGCGCATTTATATTGAGGTTGTGTCCTGTGTTTATGATTTGGGTAGGATTATTTTCGAATCCGCGTGGTAGCCAGTCTTTATGTTGGAACAAGCATGCTCCGGCGACATTGCTCAGCGGTCAATACCCTACACAAATTGAATCCTAACACATCAGCTTTGGACATGTTAGAGCAAATGCTATACTAATACCTAAATCAAACCCTCACCCTAGAAACCAAATGCCTCCCTAACCTAACCCTATCTTTTAGATGTAAGGGCCAGAGCGATATCTTCCAGAATAAGGTCTGTCGGAGCGCCGCTCTTAACAACTACAGAGGCACAACAAAATCTGAGTGTCGGAAACAAAGGGATTTTTATGGAGGGGGGACTAGCGATGTTCATTCTTCGCCTCTAGTCGTATAATCAGTGCTATAGCCCGCCCTCCTGCTGTGCTGGTGTGATTCGTAGGACGACAACAGACATGGAGATGGTAAAGCAAGCATAGATACAGAAGAGGAGGCGGTCGATGACGGTGGCGAAGAGAGCCCACTCTCGCCGGATCCTCTGCTGACGGTCGGTCCTCCGCTTCATCATCCTCATGTTCTTCAGGATGTTGTCCACACCGACCTCGAGCTGCGAGAGTCGGTGGTCGCCGGTCTCGGAGAGGTTTTCCTCGAACTTGGCCCAATCGTCGTTGTCGTCATCTTCGTGGACACCGGTGAAGCTACTCTTGGCTTGCTTGCTAGACTGCCCGCTGCCGCCAGTGCCGTCACTGGCGACCAGAGGCGTGTACGAAACACCATATCTGTAGAAAAAAAGAAATAATTAAATGGTAGAAAATATTGAACGATACTAAAATAACAATCATTTTGTTGTTTGCTTGTAGGGATCGGAGAGAAAAGACAATGGCGGATTTAGGTGGGAAAAGGCACAAATACATGAAACAAAAACCTGTCAATTTTCCTTCTTCTTCGTTTTATTTTCCTTCTTCTACTTCTACTGCTACTACTTCTATTACTACTGCTACTTCTTCTTCTTTTTCTTCTTTTTCTCAGTTTTTTTTTTTTTTTTTTTTTGGGGGGGGGGGGGGGGGATAATTAACCTCTCCTAGCCTTCGAAACGGAATCGACATAGACCCCTAGATTGCTCTTTTGAATAACCCTTTAATCAAATTTCATCCATGCCTCTAATTGCCACAACCCTAACTATTGTCTAAATGATATCCCAACATAAAACAACGTATGCATGCAAATTTTAAATAATTTTTGTAGAGCAATAATTAAAGTTTTTTTGTTCTCACTATTCTTTTTTGCTTATCACATTTGTTTTCCGGCATCGCCCCTCCCTCCTCTTCTGCCCATACAATCCCCGAATCCACCCCTCGAACCGTAGTAATTAATACCTACCTTGCAGCAAAGAATCGCTGTTTTTTCAGCATGGCCAGCCGATCGGGGTCCATGTCGTGTTGCTTCCTTTGTGACATCATCTCCTTCCAATAATTCACCACAAAGCCCATGCACATGATACGGGCTGCGTAGAAGAGCACGAGCTTCCTGAGCCATTCCGGCACCTCCCGCTTGCCGCTCTCGCCCCGGTGGAAGATGTTGAGCACCGCGATGTTCATGGCGGTCGACACGGCAATCAGGACCATGATGATTATGTAATATTCGGCTAGATGACGGAACAGGGAGAGAAATAGTCGGAAACATATCTTAGGATAATGTAAATGATAATAATATCAACTATAACAAAAGTAATAACGTCATTACTAACAACAATATGATTATAATAATAATATAATAATGACAATGATAATGATAATAGTTTCAGCAATAATACTAGGCCTAATAATAATAATCTTAACACTAATAACAACAGCAATGCTATTAATAATAATAATAATAGTAATGGTAAGAACTTGCACACACAAATATAAAGTCAAGTAAAAATCGAGCTATACCGTGAGAGGAATTTGAAGGAAAACAAATCAGGCAAATAATTGATCACGAAAACAAATCCTTTCTATTCAAGAAAGTAATTGCTCGTCACGGAAAATAGCTTTTATGAAAAATGGCCTTCCTTTTGTTTGTCTGCAATTCCTAGTTATTTTCTAGTTTTATGAATATGTCCCATTGATTCAGAATCTTGAGAGCGTAATTACCGTTTCGAAGTCGTTTCTGACGTTCTATTGTTAATTGTCCTACTAATTATTCTCCTTATGAAAGCTGTTACATAATGGATTTTGTGTTGTCGCCTATGGGCTTTTATGAGATCTTTCCATAATATCGTGTAAGTGGCAATTTAATTCTACAATTGAAAACCAATTAACAACAAAAAAGCACCTCCCCCCCCCCCCATAAATCATAACAATTCCTGTCTACACGTTTCATGAATCACTAAATATAACACGGTCGCATTTATTTCGAAAACTAACCCAAAAGGGCAATTTAGCGCTTGAGACTTCGGTGGTAAGCGCTTTATAAGGAACGTTTTTATTATTATTATTATTATTATTAATTTCAATATCCTCTTGTACATCACAGGAAATCATGTTTGGATTTAATACACAATACGTCATTGCCCTGTTCGCACATTTCGATAAGTGATGCACACAAAAATCTACAAGTCTTCAATACAGAGGAGCGAAGCGATGGAATTATGTACCACATGACGAAAAAGGGTCAAAGCTTTGACAAACTTGACAACTTAAAATGAGGTAGTAGTGGTTACATTCTGTTCTCCCCCCTCTCTCTCTCTCTCTCTCTCTCTCTATTTCTTTCCCTCTTTCTATTCTCTTACCTACTCTATTTCACTCCTGCCTTTTCTATTATTCTATCCTTTGTATGACACATGCTTTCTATTTTCGTTATATCCTAACATTGATTTATAGCGCGATTTCATCATCTTTCTAGCAATACGTAATTTGTCATTGTTTGTGTAGTGTATTCTCTTACTTCCATTTAAAAAAAAAGCTATACCTTTTCATAAGACAATTCAAAATGGCACAATTTCTATTGCCTCCTGAACCACGGTGGGGGTAGGGATGAAAACAAATAATGCTCTGGAATACTTCAATGTAGGGGAGGGAAGAAAAAACAATTGCTCTAGAATACTCAAGAAGACAAGAGACAGTCTCGAAAGATTTTACGATGGAAATCATATTCATAGGAGGGAAAGACTACATCCTCTCTCTTTCTTTCTCTGGAGACCTTGTTTTGCGCGTTAAAGCTTGTAGCCAAATGACTCACCAACACTGACCCCCCCCCCCCCCCCCCCCCCCCCAAAAAAAAAAAAAAAAAAAAAAACCCAACTGTTGTTTTGCTCTGTTTTGCTTTTTTTGGTCACAGAATGTTTGAAATTGTGCCCCGACCCATTGCAAACTGGAGATTTCTGGATCGACCAATGTCATAAGACTGACAATGCCACCTGCTTTCTACAAAACTATCTGAGGGTTAACAAGACCGTTAGCCTACACACCGACATGTTGTTCTCATGTTATTTTTATTACAGAACTTGTCTGAGTGTTCATAAAGGCTAGTTCCGACTTCATGCTTTAAAATAAAAAAGGGTCGCGTTGTTTTGTTTGTTTTACCTATGACTGAATGGCAACTGCGCTTATTAATTCAGTGAGGTCTATGTTGTGAGACACAGAAATGTAAAGCGTATTACACTTTATACATCATCATACAAAAACAAGTAGGGTTTTTCCGTTTAGAAAAGCATTTTCGATCTCGTGTGCTCTCGGTCTATTCGGATTTTCCCCTAACATATCTCAATTACAATGTCAAGCCGACCCCATACTGACACCAACCCGACCAGTTCATTGTCATTCGGGGGATTGAAGGGTAGCGTTTATTCGTATTCCATGCTGACTTAACAAAGCATAAAACATTTTACAAAATATTATAATTTATTTAAGTAATATGGAAGTATATAATGGCGAGTCCTCCAATCAATCTCAAGTTTGCATTCTCCCATCAGTTATCAGTTTACATCTGTGAATGGATATCTATCTGAAGAGAGACAAATTATTTGTGGTGTCCCGCAGGGCTCGCTTCTGGGCCCATTATTATTCAATGATATGTCAAAGTGTTAACGGTTGTGAAGTAGCACTAAAAGCTGACGATACATGTTTATATAACAAAAGATCCACAGTAAGCTGTACGTGATTTGAATAAAGACCGAATAATTTTATCTCATTGGTTATCTGAAAATAAGCTGATAGTTAATCTGAAAGAATGTGAGGCCATGTTAATGGGATCAGCTCAACGACCGAATAAAATGCAACATGAATTTGATAGCTCTGATATATTTTTGATGACATAACAAATTCAACAAGTCGAACGAAGTAAATATTTAGGACCGTCTGAATGAGCGTTTCTCCCATCACACAGCTTGTATCATGTATCGATCAATTCACAAACTCTGCCCAGCCTATCTTAGCAATTTTTTTCTTTCATTCAATCAAAGTATAATACAAGATCTGGGACACGAACATTGAAAGTCACCCTGCTTTTACCCAAAACGAATTACGGTAAACGTTCACTTGTCTATCGAGGTTCATAGCTGTGGAATTCACTTAAATAAACACCTTCGCTCAATCAGTAGTCTCAAGACAAGCATTTAAACGCTTCTTTCGGAGTAACCCTATCCGACGATTTGTTTGATTCTGTTTTGATTTGTTTTATACGCAACAATTTTATTCTTGGTTTTCCCTTTCTCCTCTCTGTTCCTCGTTTCTTTCCGTCCCTTATCCTGCACTTTATTGCTTTCTTTATTTATATATAAAGGTTTCGTTTGATTGTTTTTGTTTGTTTGTTTGTCATTGTAAACATATTTCAAACATATTTGCTAAAGCCAGGGTAATTATGCTGCATTATTGTAGAGCGCTTAGAGACTTCTGACAAAATAAGTGTTAGGCGCTATATAAGCACTGTAATTATTAATGTAATTCATCAACAATTTGTATTTTTATCTAGTGGATGGGCCTCTTTAGAGACCAGCTTTTAGCTTAATAGGGTGATGCTTCCCTTATGTTGAAAATATAATAAATAAAATAAACAAATACAAAATAGTTGCGATTGATATCAGTCGCAAATAAGTTGCGATTAATATCAACTCCTTATAAGACGGGGCCCTGTTGTTGATCTCTTCGGTGTGACTGGTGTATCATGATTACTCACTGATTAGTGGCATGCTGTCCGAAGTCCTCGGTATCGTTTCGGCGACGAGAAGCAAAAACACCGTCATCGAGAGCGTCAACGTGACGCTGAGACTGGCCTTGATGACGCCGACGTTGTAGGGCATGAGGAACCCGACCATTGAGAGTGCGGAGAGGAGGACGATGGGCATGACGAGCTTGTATAGGTAATAAAGGGGTTTCCGACGTAATTTAAGGTACATGGTTATGTCGACGTAGCGGTCGGGACAGCACTCGTACCACTCAACGTTACGCTTGAAATAGGCATCTCTGGAGAAGGATAGAGAAAAAGAAAGATGTATATGCATAGAGAGAGAGAGAATTTATTGAAATAAAATCACATCAAATCAAAGAACAAACAGTCCGATGACTGACACCTGTCTTGCGTACAATATAGAATTTAAATCAAGTATACATAATAAAATAGTAGTAACGAATTCATAAATAAGTTACATATAAGAGAGAGAGAGAGAGAGAGAGAGATAATAGAGAGGGGAATTTTGGGGAGATGGGGATTACAAAAAAAAACAGATGGGGAGGGGGGGGGGGGTCAGAGAGAGAGAGAATTGATATACAGAATGATGAATAATTAATAACTGAAATAGCCGTCATCTATGTTTAAGACTTTACTTGTATTGAATAAATAATAGTTTTAAATTGGTATTATCTTTCAAATGCCAATGAAATATAACCTTTTCATTTGTTTGGCCTGCAAATGGTACAAAGTATCTTTAATCGAAAGCTTTCTCTCTGTAGGATACATCTAAATAGTATATATTTGTGTAATATTTAGGTGGGTCCCCCCCCCCCCCCCCCCCGCCCCGGTTCCTCATATCGACGGGGCAAACTACGTTATATGAATATTTTTTTGAGTTACGTTTAAACAGCAATATTGTTATTATCAAAAGTATTGAAGTATCATGTTGTGATATCCAAAAAACCTTTCAAGCAAATCATTGAAAATGGTACCTACAAGACATCCCATTGCCCATTCTCCAGGTAATCCGAGAAGTCCGGAGATTGGGTCGAGTTGTGCAGGTCGACGTACTGCTGGGTGTACGTCCAGGATCCGTACTTGAGATGGCAGATCTGGTGGTCAAAGGGAAAGTACCGGATTCGAATCTTGCAGGTGCTGCTCTGGAGGAATGGCTTGGACACCAGACGGATGAGACCCTTGTGGTTTATGATGATGTTGGCTGAGCTCGAGTTGCCGAAGGCGTAGTCCTTGGGGTCACCCCTACAGAGTATGTGGGTCCATTTTTTTTCGGGGGGGGGGGTGGATTAGATGATGTACAAAGAGAAACAGAGAGGAAGAGAGAGATCATGAAGAGAGAAAGATAGATAGAGAGAGGTGGTATTTTAGAAAGAAATAAAGACAAAAACGAGGAAGAGCATTAATTGCATAATTAATGTTAAGTTTACACTCTACATGATGACTTAAAATGACAAAATCAGGGTTCTCTTGAAATTGCTTTATATTAGGATGTTTCATTAGTCCGTTTAGACTTCCATGACCAAATGACATAGCCGGGACGCAATCGAGTTTTAACCCATTTGTACACATTCTCAAAAAACCAACAACTCAATAGCCTGTTCATGTTTCCTAGATAATTCAAAGCTCATGTTTATATGTTCATGTTCGTGTTGTACGTCATTGTAATGTTGCACATTTCACAAATCTATTGAAATTGCATTTAGGGTGATTGTGGGGTTTCTTTTATCGATACTCGTTATGACCACGTTCAGCGCATGCGCAGTGCCCATTTCTACACCGTGACAAGACAACACTTCTTTTGAATTCCGAGCTTCGTTTGGAAAGATAATTTAGTTATTAGTGCTTTTCCACCACTCCAAAGCTTGTTTGCTTCCCTTTGCAATGATATTCCAATTTCTGACAATTTGAAGGTATGCTTTATAGCAAAATTTTGGGGCAGATGTGGGGCGAAGTAAAATCTGCAAAGTGTATTCTTTTTAGTACCATTATTGCTTTTCTGATTTCTTCGAGCAGTCAAGCACAATTGCAAGGGCTTACGAGAAAATCAACCAAAAACAATTTCAATAGGCTTGTTCAGCCCTTTATAAAATGTGCGAGTATGACAGTAGGGCGCTTTCGCAAACACGACGGAAGCAAAGATGACGGGAGAATTCACTCAACCGAGATCAATTAAAGTATGCAGTTCGTATTTTGTCTATTGAAATACTATTATTCTTATCAGGTGAATGAAATATTTTGTATTGAGACACTCCACTAGACTTGTGCATTAAATGGCCTATTGTACGGCGATACAGCTCTGCGTGTTTTAGGGAACGGACGCTATTATGGACTAGAACGGTCGTGAAAATCAACAAGACGGAGAAAATTCTGGTTCGCGCACGCGCAGATTGATTGTTTCGCTCGGTTACCCTCGTCTTCGCCTTCCGTCGTGTTTGCGAAAGCGCTCTTTAATACAGGTTACAAATGAAGACGGGAGCATATGGTACAGGACGATGTCGGTTGAGTGAATTCTCCCGTCGTCTTTGCGAAAGCGCTCGATTGATTTATTACGTCATTCAAACAAAAAGGCCCGAATTCACAAAGGAGGTTTGTCGACAAACCTCCTTTGTGAATTCAGGCCGATGTGTATGGGTTACACTGCACTGTCCCGGCCCCTCCACTCATTTAGGGTACGCATAAGCATGTTCCCTCCTTTTGAAAACACCCCCTAAGTCCGGTGTTTAAAGTCTTTTTTGTGTATGTACGAGCCGGAATTTGGTGCGTTAAAAGTACCCCTTTACCGGTCATTTTGGTAACACGCATGGTATCCCTCCGTTCACTCTAGGGTACTGAAATCGCCTTTGAGTTGATATTTCGAAAGTCCTTGCGACTGCAAATGTTTGGAGCTTTTACCGATCATTATCTTTGTAATGAAGAACGCTTATTAAATATTTACATATCTGCGAAGTGAAATGGTTTACCATTGTGAACCATTTCTCTACAATAATTGTTTAAGCTAGGAATTCAAAGCAATGCTTGCACTGTTCATGCTGCACTCACTTATGTGCGTTGCATACGATGTGCCAATAGGGACTTTTAGATTTGCACGTTGACAGCTTTGTCTGCAACGTGTGACGTCATTTTAAGGCACTGCGCATGCGTCACGTCGTCTCAGTCGGCGATCGAGAATGAGTCAACCTTGATTTTCCTAAATCTAGTACATACATACATACGTACATATTGGTATATATAGCGCCTTTACATGCTCAAGGTACTAGTATGCCGCGTGCGCATAAAATATACAGTTCCTCAGGTAGACAAAGGAACACCTCTTCCCTGCTATTATGTAAAAATGTGTAGAACAGGTTTCATATGCAAATTCACCTGTTCTACACATTTTTCATAATAGCAGTGAAGGGATGTTCTTTTGTTGAGGGTAGAATGAGGATCTTGTCCTCTTTCTTTGTCCGTGATGTTCATAGTGTTACTTCCTACATGCATGCATATCGTCGAGTGCAATCTAAAAGATTTCTAATTGTAGTCAACATGGGCAGTTAAGTACGTTGACACGCATGATCAGTCGGCGTTCGTCGTGTCCACTCAATCTAAAAGTCCCTATTTGCTGACTCAGCACTGCGTAAGTTACTGGCGTGGCCTTTGAAATTTAAGAAAAGGTGAACATTGATCTTTCTGACATACTGATTATTTTAAAGAAAACTTGTCTTCTTCTTATAATAATAGAGGAGGCGCAATGGCTCAGTGGTAAAGTAATGGTCTCGTAATGCCTAGGTCACATATACACCGGGCCCTGTACGATGCTACCTACCAAAGTGCGCCAAAAGTCATTAAAAAAGATTCTTGCCCAGCTGAAAGATAATACATTAAAGATTACCTAACTAAAATATTTAATTCCGGTATGAACAATAAGGGTATAAATTTACTCCTTCAAACAGCAAAATCTTACATATTCACAGTTTTAGTGCAAAAGTGACTATTTCATAAATCTTTGAATTTAACATGGAGTTTTTAAGCTATTGATATAAAATTGCTCTTACATATTCCTGATAGCTCATTTCACTGCATGAATGGGTTAAAATGGATCTTCATAATATATCATAGGGTAATTCACTGAAAAATTATCCATGTTTTTTATAAATCCAGTGGAAATGTTTAGATTTCCAGGGATTTTCACTTTAGTTTAATTACCACCATTTTTTTCCGATGTCTAAGCTTTAGGTTGAAACCATATTTGGCTGCCATCTTCTATGACCGCGAATCCTTCATGATGCAGCCGAGGAACAAAATAAACACCGAGTGCCGCCCGGTAAGCTTACCGGCTCCCTCCGATGAACAGGGCACCCATGGCTCCCGGTGCCCGGCTGGGTTCCTCAAGGCGCCCGGTTTGTTGCCGTGCGGTGCACTGAATAATGTGTCCTCTAACATCCACGCCTCCGTTGAGAATTGACAGAAATAATCTTGAGGGGCCCATCCGGGCCCTGAATGGAGCTTCCACATATACACCCCGGGGCCCGTAGGGCGAGTAAAAACAGACATTTTTTTAAGGGAATTATCGGCCGGTGCCCGGCCGGCTCCCGTACAGTTCCTACAGGCGCCCGGACATCTTTCACCAGCCATACGGGCGCCATGGTGTTGAGTTGGCTGCTCCCAATTCCCCGGCATTTTCATCTGGCCGATAGACCGTATAAAGTCCTTAAATAACCCGTGGGGCACCGTACGGTTCCCGTGTGGGCTCCGAACGGTACACTGACTTCTTTTTCTGTCAATTTTCTGTCAACACATAGTTTAGTGCACCATGTAGGGCATCTGTTTATCGGACGGAACTACACGATTATCTGGCGGCACCGGGCCGGAACCCGACCGGCACCCTTACGGGCGCTTTGCATTTTCACTCGAGCAATTTTCACCGGGCACCTCCCGGGCGCCGCAGAATAGGTGACCATACATGCCGTAGGGTCCCGCACGGGTACTAGGACACCTACTCCCTGGACATCCACCTCCGGATAACCACCTTCTAGTCAACTACCCCCTAGGATAATTACCCCCTAGGACAACTATCCCTAGGGCAAACACCCTCTAGGACAAATACCCCTGAGACAACTACCCCCCCCCGACAACTATCCCCTAGGACAACTACCCCCCGACAATTATTAGTTGTCTGGGGTAGTTGTCCGGGGTTAGTTGTCCAAGGGTAGTTGTCCTTGGGGAGGGGGGGGGGGGGGGTAGATGTCCTAGATGTCCTCGGGTAGTGAAAATCGTACGAGGCCCGGTGTATATGTGACCTAGGCATAACCGAGAGGTCCCGGGCCCAAAACCAAGTCAATGCGCTCGTGCCCTTTGATAAGGCATTAATCTTTATTACCAAGTCCCTCGGAAAGAAATCCGTCATTCCCCTGAATGTTTATGCCTGGGTCACTTTTGCCGCGGCGGCCTTGCGGTCTAAAATATCTACGGCCAATAGCAATTATAGGATCGCCACGGTCACATACGGTAGCGGTCACATATGTTAGGGTAGCCGCACGGCGTATTCTAAAAATACCGGGCGTATGGTAGCCTTGCGTTTGGTTAGTATTTGTCAAAAAGCTACTACCGCCGCAGGGACGCTCTAAGGCGACTGTGCGTCATCACTTCAAAGGCCGTACGGCAGTCGCAGATTTTCTGTCTCCACAAAATCAAAATACGCCGTGCGGCTACCCTAACATAACCGCTTCGGCGCCAGGGGCAAATGTAATCCAGGCATAACTCTCGATTTCGGGGGCGTACGGCCGCCGTATCCTAGCCGAGCAAATGTGACCTAGGCATTACTTACACAAATAAAGGTAAAACAATAATCAACCAATCAACATGTACTGTAAAGGAAGTGCTTGTCTTTTAGGCCGTTTACCTGCAGCAGCAGCAAACAACAACAACAACAACTCAATGCATATACAATTGTGCCTTTTCAATGTACTGGCACTCTCCTCATTTTCACCGTATCTCAATGTATTACATTTACAGATAAGTCTGGCATTTTTAAATGAGTTTTGCGGAAGGGTTGGATTCTTAGAATCATCTGGAAGCTCGCGAACATTTCAAGAAAAAAATATCAATTTGGTACTCTAAAGAAGACAAAAGTGCCAGTACACAATCGCGTCTAGACATTGTGATCTAGCCCCAAGCCACAGGCGCGGATCCAGGATTTCTTAGGGGAGGGGCCCAACTTTTTTTTTTTTTTGCTCCCGAAAATTTGAAAATCGCGCCGGCCGAAAAGTCGCTCAGTGGGGGGGGGGGGGGGGGGTTACAGAGCACAATTTTTTTTTTTTTTTTTTTTTTTTTTTTTTTTTTTTTTTGCTCCCGAAAATTTGAAAAACGCGCCGGCCAAAAATTCACTCAGTGGGGGGGGGGGGGGGGGGGGGGGGGGTGGGGGGGGGGGGGGGGAGGGTAGTGAGCACATTTTTTTTTTTTTGATCCTCAAAAAAATTTCAATTTGCACCCCCCCCTTGAGCGCCAGGGGGGGGGGGGGGCCCAACCCCAAAAATCGTAAAAATCACGTGATTTTACATGATTTTTTTCTCAAGGGGGGGGGGGGGCCCGGGCCCCCCGGGCCCCCCCTGGATCCGCGCCTGCCAAGCCATGCTTATTGAATATCCACCATATTATCCACCATATTAAGATGTCTGATTTCAATGAGCACGACCAACAGTTCTCTCAAAACTAGGGGAGGGGCCCGGGGAGGGGGTAGTGAGCACATTTTTTTTTTTTTGATCCTCAAAAAAATTTCAATTTGCACCCCCCCCCCCTTGAGCGCCAGGGGGGGGGGGGGGCCCAACCCCCAAAAATCGTAAAAATCACGTGATTTTACATGATTTTTTTCTCAAGGGGGGGGGGGGGCCCGGGCCCCCCGGCCCCCCCCCCCCCCTGGATCCGCGCCTGCCAAGCCATGCTTATTGAATATCCACCATATTATATCCACCATATTAAGATGTCTGATTTCAATGAGCACGGCCAACAGTTCTCTCAAAACTCATTAACTGAACGATTATCTTTGCACTTAGGTCCACCATAAGTGTGATTGGGTGCTTCGAGCTCTTGTATAAAGTACAATAAGACCATCCGTCATTAAAGTATCATCCCTCTTCTTTTTGGTCAAAGACTCATAATGAATGTCTGTCCATAGCCAGAAAGGTGTTATTAACTCTGTTTTAAAGTCTAGAAGTAAATATTTTTGTTGCATATTTCCGCTGACGACGGACAGAGATACATTTTCGCAAATTTGTATATAAGACATAATTATAATAATTCAGTACTTTCACTAAGATGGGATACTATAATGATACACAAAAATGATCGGTTGTTGCATAAGGCGCTTATTTCATGCTAATACTACCCAGAATTTTTTTTTTCACATGCAAACCAAGCAATCTGCTTACAATGCCAGTCCTTCTTCCGCAAATAATTTTTATAATGTTTTATAATATTTGAGGAAATTTAGTATTTATTACAGTTCATCATTTCGTTTTTGAAAATAACAATTTATATATATATATATATATATTTGCTGATTTATGATTCATTGTCAGAAAAAATACTTTTTGTACTTATATTATTATTGTTATCGAAAAGCTGTATGCTTACATGAATGCAGAAGACAATACAATAAAATAAAATAAAATCAAGTACACGTACCCTGAAGAAAAGGGTCAATGTCGCCATAGTAACTTTAAGCCCGTCTGTACTAGTTTGGTCAGAAGGAATTAGACCACCCAGCGTGGTCACTGACAGGTGGCTATCTTATCAACTCAGCTTTCAATTAACATATAAAAAAAGAGGATCATGGGGCACCAACAAGCACCGCTTAGGCATTATTTTCTATATAGAGGGAGCAAGTAGCTATAAGTAGTACAGTGGGGCTTTAAAAATATTCTCAATTTTACTGAAAAGGGAGAGTAATCAATTAATCCTACTCGACATTCACGAGCGATAACTGTCAAAAGAATTAATTAAAGGTTATCGGTATTTACTGGAAATGGTTTGAAACAAAGCACTCTAATTTTAAAGCTTGATTGCACAATCCCTATAAGGGGTATTTAGCCCCCAGGTCTTCCACTAGAACCGCTAATGACCATTGTAGTTGATTAGTACTCTATCCGACAAATCAAAAAGAAAGCATGGAAGAAAAGCTCGTCTCCACGTTGTACGAATCGCACTGTAAGACGAAAGGTGTCTGTCTTGCGTCTGCACAGCTTTCAATTCTACCTTTGCAATTACGCCCACCTAAATATGCTCCGAATACCAAAACAAAATCGTCTTCACTTTTGTTGGTGTCAAGCGTAGCTGTCATTGGTAATTCTAAAGGCAGTTCCCATTGAACGACCGACTGCATTATAATGCCTTTGTGAAGGTTTAAAATAGAGGAATATTATTGGCAACTTTGTCGTGTATAGTTGGGACGATCCGCCACCTGATAGCCGAACCTCCTCGTTTTCACGGCAGTGGGTCAGGCATGATAGTGAGTCAGAATCACATGCTGCACTTGAAATAGTAAGTAAATTTTCTTCGCCTTTTTTTCATTATATCCGTAAGAAATATATAATTCTTCCCACATAATTGACAGCTATAAATGCTTACAAAGATATATATATATATATATATTTATATGTATATATGTTATATGTATAAATATACAAAAAAAAAAAAAAAAAACACATAAATATTGTGTGTTTTGTTTATCATCCGTATTACTCGAACAAGTGATTCATAATATCCATATGGAGGAAAGGTAAGTTTAATAATCTCTAATGTTTAACGGGGGCTAGCTTTCGTTGCCGAAAAGAACAATTATCTGAGTTTACGTTCCAGTATAATTATTCTGACTATGATCTTATCAATTTCAATCATGTTCCACTGCAGATACGTGTGTCCCGTGCCCGTTGCAGTATGTCGACCGATTTTGAGATGACGACTGAACTGCCTCCCAATCTCAGCACAGATGTTACGTATAAACTGGTAGGGGTTGTCCTTTGTGGCCTCATCTTTTGTGTGGGTGTGGGCGGTAATACCTTGGTCCTCCTCGCCATCTCGGCCTCACGGAGGCTACAATCCCACAGCAACCGATTCTTGGGCTTTCTAGCCATAACGGATCTCCTAACCTGCCTCCTCCTGCCGATACAGATTGCCGCTCTCTTAGATGCTAAGTCGGAGTTCTTCCACCTGGCATGCGGCGTTGCAGGAGTGATGGTATACGTTACGCTAGGATCAAGTGCCTTCACTTTGGTCCTCATTGCTTTTAACCGCTACATCTGCCTCACCCAGCCCCTCACCGTCAAAAAGAGGATATTTTCGCGTTGCAAGTCCACGGTGATGGCTTCATTTGGAGTCCTCTTTCCTCTTATAACCACTTCGGCATTCGTTGTTACCGGAAATGCCAAAACGGGTCTTCTCAGCGGTCTTTTTTGCACTATTGTGTATGGGCCCCAACTGGATATTTTAGCTGGCTCATTCCTACTCATTTGTGTACTTGTGACAATTATCTTTTATCTTCTTATTGCAAAAGTGGTTCGATCGCACTCCAGGAGGGTTCTTCCACCGAATCAGGCATTTCAAGAAAGCAGTACACGGTCAGATATCCGGACGGAGACGAGTCCAAACGAGGCCTGCATTCTCGGTCAACAAGACAGATGTAGTCGTAAGGATTATGACTCCAACAAAGCAGGCTCAAGCGACCAATCATCAAGGCTTTCGTCCACCACGGGGATGGCGTTGCGCATTCAAGAGCCTGGCACCTCCAATCCAAATAAGATGTTCGTTCCTGCGACAACACGAATGCCAAATCGTAGCATAACAACGAGTGAACCAATCTCTTGCACCCCTGAACCTGTCAGTGTTTCGAGTATTCAAGCTATAAGCACAATCGTACAGGATCAGGAGGGAACCACAAGGAGGCCCAACCAAGGGCGTCTTGCGCCACGCCCAAAACCGTACGTAGCACCTGTACCATTGTTCAAACTTGAGACCGAGGTCGTGAAGAACATGATCCTGATCGTCTTGGCTTTCTTAATCGCAATAGTCTTCACCTTACCGTGTGTCCTCATTCCTGATTTGCCGTACATCTATGATCTCTGTACATACGTTGTGCTTAGTGCAAACAGCAGTATTAACCCTATCATATATGGCTGGAGGCATCCACTTTTGAAAAAAACCTTCCGTCATCTTTTAAGATGGAGGTTGGAGGAAATCGATCAACCAACGAGATGGGTCAGGAGATGTATATATTGAACTAATGTGAACAGGTCTCACTTTCCATTTACCCATAACGCATACCAAAAATATGGAGACCGTGCATTCTCATTCATGGCTTCTCGTTTGTAAAAGCTTGTCTTTCCTTTGTGGAATCGACAGTCTAGAAATAACACTTCAAATCATTAATTTAACATTTACCTATATCATCAAGTGTGAACATATCGACTTTATTCCAGGAGCCTGCGTATTTGAATGCCTTTCAACAGATTCATGGCGCCATGCAAATTCCTGATCAACATTTGAAACCAACTTTGAGGAGGTTCTACTCTCAGTGAATCGTCATTTCGAAAAGACGTTTTTTTTAAAAATCCTCCTGAATTGTTATCATGTAACCATTATGAGTTGTGGGAGAGTTGCACGAGAGTTGCAGTTGTAATAGTTGTAGTATAAATCGATGTCGTTATGTTCAGGGGCGTAGACAGCGGGAAGGGAGATTCGGTATGCATCCCCCAGAATTGTTGATTGGGGGGGGGGGGTAGCGTGTGTAATACATACCCCCTCCTTGTTTCAGTTCCTCTTTGCAAGAAGCAGGGGAAGGAAGAAAATTGCATGTAATTACCTTGCACTACAACGATGTATGATAAGCTTTCTAGAGCACTAAAATGCAAACTTTCCTAATCAAAAAGAATTTCTCGCTTGGTTCCCACACTCATTCGCATACCACTAGACGCAATGGTCCTTAAGGTAGCTGTGCGAAGATTTAACAAACCTAACCTTTTTTCCATTATTGCAAAGGAGAAACTTCGATAAGACAATTTTATCAAAATTCAATGTTTGGAAACATTCCAAGTGATTATTATCAATTACAAAACGCTAAAATATAACCCCGGCATAGCACCTGGAGAGCTCTCCGAACGCTGCTGAGATGTTTGACATCACACGTTGAGCATGGTTTGCACAAGCAGACGCCATCCCATAAAGAATGAACATGAATGCAATGCTATAATTTCTTAAATTATAATGAGCTTTATAGTGTATATAAATGTAATGGCATGTCAAACCATTCAAAAAGGTATAGGAAACCGATTCTGATTTCACTAAAATATTTTGTGTTTAAGTACACAGGATAGGGGTTAATGAACGTTCAAAGAAACCACACTTTCATATTGAAAAAATCCCGGAATGATAGCATGGACGACATATGTTCCCTCTTGAAACACCGAACATACCGCGGTGTATGCAACTGAAAATGGCGTCTTATTTTGTTCACAAGCGACGGATTCCTTTTTTTTTCATCGCTGCATTTTTCATCAAAATAATACTTTAGAGTGAGGCTATAGATTAAACATTTATACTGACGGTAGTAAAGTAAGAGAATTGACTGAAGAGAAGATGACAAAACAGGCACTGAAAATGTGTGAGATGTCATGGGACATCATCTGCTTGTGTAAATCATGCCCAACTTGTAATGTCACGCATATCGGCAGTGTTCGGAGAGCTCTTCAGGTTCTGTGCCCGGGCTGTATTTAAACGTATATTGATAATAATCATTACTTCGAATGTTTCCAAGCATTGAATTTTGATGAAATTATCCAATCAAAATTTCACCCTTGCAATAATGACAATAATGTTTCCATAATCAACGGCAAAATATATTTGCACCTCCTATCAGAAACACGATAAGCTTGAAAACGTTATCAAATGATCTTATCAAAAGAAGCCAGATGTGTAACTCATATATGCATGGAGGTGTGAAGATGATCAATACCGAATGTTTCTTTACTTCGCTAAAAATAACTTGGATACGAAGAATGTATAACGGATTTATTGACGGTTTGTGTTTCAACTCTTTTCTGAGCTCTGTTTCTTTCTCAGATTGCAATTTTTTTACTTTACCGTTATAGTTATTTAGAAAAGTATATTGATTTGATAACGAATCCTTTTTGGAAGGATGTAGTTCCTTCTTGGTGTGTTTTTGGAAAAGCAAATAGATACTCCAGCAAAGGAGAGTTTTGCTCTGAATTTTCTTTGCCACAATGAAGACATTGTAATAAATAAAAACCTTGTTAATTTTAGACAATAGAACCAGAAGGGTGTAAGATTTGTTAATGACTTAATTGTAGCAGATGGTCAGTTTACAAAGCAGACAATTTTTTTTAAAAAACTTACAATATTTCTATTGACTAGCATTAGGGGAGATTGATGAAAAGTTGGAAAGTTTTTCACAACCTATCAATGCGTTTACGTAGTTGACCAACCCACTTAGACCAAATAGCCTATTCTTAGAAGTTTCATGAAGCAAAGAAAATGATGTAAACATATTTACGTTTCAATGGTAATAGGAAGGGTATCAGCTCATGTAAAAAGGAAAGAAAGATGGGAAGAGAAAATTCGGCAACAAATCTCATTAAAGAAATGGCGTTGTTTTAATTCTATACCATACCAAACAATACCAGACGTTACACTTAGATGGTTCCAATACTGCTTGGTTAATTGCATTACTCCAACAAACTCTTATTTGTGTAAAATACAGGTTAAATCAGCAGCGCAAGTACATTCTGTTGATTGCATGACGAAACCGTTGAAAACCTATTTTTTTTAATGTCACATAGTGAGGAAGGTATTGGAATATTTCGAAAGAAATTGTACGAAAGATGTAAACTTGTTTTGAAATTAACAGTCGAAAATGTTGTTTTTGGAATCACACCCAATACAATTAATAAAGCTTTAAATTCACTTATCATTTGGTTTAAATGGGTAATTTATAAAAACAAATTGGCTGGAATTCGCCTTTTACCACAAAAAGTTTTAAACGAGGTAAAGATTTATTTTAGGTTTGAAAAAAAAAATCTTTTGTGAAATATGAAGCAAGATACATTTGAAAAATGTTGGTCAGGTTTCAATGGTCTTTTCGATTAATGCTAATAATATGTTTAATCAATGGTATGTTATGCGATGGCGGTCGGCATTCATTGGCTGCACTCTTGCGCTCGGCGGGCGAGAGCAGTGGAGGTATGCATAGGTCATATATAAACCGGGCACCGAATACGATTTTCCCTTCCCGGCGGCTTGCCGTGGATTTAGAGACCGTACGGGAATCTTCTGATTTTCATTTCTACGGCAGGTGTGGTCACATATTCTGCGGCGCCCGGGAAGTGCCCGGTAAAAATTGGTCAAGTGAAGTGCAAGGCGCACGTAAGGGTGCCGGCCGAGTGCCGGCCGGTAAGCTTACGGGCTCGGTCCGATGAGCAGGTGCACCTATGGCTCCCGGAAGGTGCCTTGCCGGGGCCCGGGCGGGTTCCTCAAGGCGCCCGTTCGGTTCCCGTGCGGTGCACTGAACTATGTGTCCTCTGGCACCCACACCTCCTGCATTTAAAGCTGCGTTGTACATTTTGAGATGCCGCCGTGAGGGACTGGCACGGGCAATATTCATTTCAAAAGGCATTCGGACGTCAGACGCCTGTTGTTGTGCATATCACCCGAAGCTCTTGATGGGCCCGCAAGGGAGCGGTATCGTACACGTACGGAACCCTTGAGCACCGCAAGGCGCCCGTAAAGATTTTTCATGAGAATTGACCAAAGCAAATCGTGAGGGGCCGTCCGGGCACCGTCCGGAGCCCGCACGGGACCCGTAAGGGGCCCGTATTTTATACGGCCTAACGGTCAGATAAAAACGCCGGGAGAATTGGGAGCAGCCAACTCAGCACCACGGCGCCCGTAATATTTTTACGGCATATTATCTGTATAAAATTATATACACTTAAAATATTATATCAAACCATATTATGTTCATGAAAATGTATGATGAAAAAAGAAAAAAAAGATGCAGAAACCAATAAATCAAATCAAATCAAATCAAATCAAATTCCCAAAATTTCTGTTTTTACTCGCCGTACGGGCCCCGGAGTGTTTATGTGAAAGCCTAAGGATGGCCAGAACATCTGGACCGGATCTATTGTTGGCATGATGGGTGTTTGGAGTGTGGTCGGTGGGTGTTGGCTGGCAATGTGATGCACATTGTTGGCATCTAATCTTAGGACCTCTTAAACATTTGTATGTGTCTTATTATTACGTATTCAAGGTTGTATCCAGTAAATGTTGTCATCACTCAATAGCTGTTGTTATGAAGAAAATGTATACTGCTTCTAAATTTTAAAAGCAGTATACATTTTCCCCCAACGGTAGGACGTTTTATTATTTAATAAAACGCCCTACCGTGGGGGAAAAAAATACAAATTAAAAAAATAAAAACAAATTTAACGCTTCAATATCTATTTTTATCACTTGGTCGCTACGATTAAACCTCACACGTACACGTTCTAGAAGCAGTAATTTTTTAGGAAACCGGTACTAAAAGGCCCTAACCGTTCTCTTGCCCTGAAATGCAAAGTTTCAACATCCCAAACATACATTTTGTCGCTCGGTTGTGACGCAGATCTCAAATCTCAGATCTCAAGGATTCCATATGGGGTATGGAAGGAGGAGATGGGGGATAAGGGCAGGTATTTACCCCTTTACTACAAAAACAAAACTCCATCCATTAAGCTTTGAGCTGTGTTTTATTAAGCCCAATTTATTTTATGCGAAATCACATGTTCACCATAGGTAGGATGTGATTTGCCTTTTATTGAATGGTAATCTATATAACGAGTTTCAATTTCACATGGGCAATTTTTGCGCTTAATCGCTACACGCCCTCGCTAAATTAGTAATAAACCAATGACACATATCTCTCTGCTTTTGTCGATAGATTAAAGAGTGTTATAGATGATACAATCGCTCCTATTATATCTCTGAAAGTATGACTTGTGATACCGTCAAATCATGCACTTATCAAATATAAGTTGGTTACTTTGATTATCTATGACCTCATGTTCTAATATTGGGCTGAAGAATGAGGAACGAGAATCGAATTAAAAAGTTATTAGTAATCTAAGTCGAGTTCAGGAATATTTTGCAAGATTTGGACCAACATTCACTAAATTTGTATTCCTTTGATATTACGAGAAGATCAAGAATTTTAGTTTAATTTCAATTCAAGTATATACTTGGGGTAAATTTATTTTCCTTTTCAAAACGTGATTCCTGCACTTTTCTAGGAAACACTTCAAAATAATGGCTTTTACTTAATTTATTTTTCATGAATTCTATAATTCATGAAGTCAGTGCCTGTCGCCATGGTAATTCAATCGTAGGTGCTTTTAGCCTACGTCACACTTTAGCAACTTTATGCTAGGAGTCCACTGGGCCAGCGCCAGTGCAATTTACTGTGGCGCCTAGTGTCGCTAATAAGGTGCCTAGTGGCGTGTAGTGGCTCAAACTGCCTCCCAACTGGCTCGTGGTGGCCCGTAACGGCACCAAATTTGAATGTGGCGGCAAGAAAATTTCAAAATGTTTGAAATTTTCGTCGCACCACTTGCATCGAGCAATCAGCGCCAAGTGTCCGCCAAGTGGCACCAAATGGCGCTAACATATCGCCAGGGGCGTACGCAATCGCTATATACTTATGAAAACGTCAAATCATGCACTTTTTATGTATGTAAACCCCTCCTAAAAAAACCTAGACCCCCCCCCCCCCCCCCCCTTTGGTTTTTTTTTTTTTTTTTTTTTTTTTTTATTATTAAAAAAAAAAAAAAAAAAAAAAAAAAAAAATATACCCACGGCTAACCTAAATAAGGTGACCTTACCCCCCCCCCACTGAGCGACTTTTCGGCTGGCTGAGTCGTTGCGATTTTTTTTTTACCTCCAAAAAAAAAAAAAAAAAAGTGTCCGCTTACCCCCCCCCCCCCCCACTGAGCGACTTTTCGGCCGGCGCGATTTTCAAATTTTCGGGAGCAAAATATTTTAAACCCCCCCCCCCCCCCTTGAAAAAATCCTGCGTACGCCCCTGCATATCGCCCTTTGGCGCAAACAATCCGCCTATTGGAATCCACTGGAATGTAATGGCGCGCGCCAAGTTGCGCCAATGAGATTTCGCGCCACATGGCGCTACTTGGCGCCAAGTGGCGCGCCAAATGTGCAGTGGCGCGAGCCAAACAGTATCCGATTGGTGACTACTTCGCGCCAAATGCCACCTGGTTGCCCGCCATTCGGCGCCACTTGCCGCCTATCAAAATTGTAAATATTTAGTAGAGATGTTGTTCATACAGCAGCTGAGGAGGGTCTGAACCAGTGTGTGTGTGTGTGTGTGTGTATATTTGGGTTTTTACAGACGTGTATCAATCAGATATGATTATTTACGTCTGGGGACCGACTTTTAACGTCACCATCCGAAAGACGTGACTCAGTTTCGAACCTGCGTTCTCGGCTGAATCAGTTTGTAACTTCCACTGTTAGCTGGATTACAGGCGCACGCCACAACGCCTAGTTGAACCAATTAGCCGATGGCCGGTATTTATATAGTCGGCAAGTAGCGCCAAGCGGCGGCAAGTTCAAACCAATTTGGCGACCTTTGGCACAAACTAATCACCAAGTGGCGCAAAGTAGCCGTCTATTGGCGCGAATGGCACCAACAGGGTGAATTTTGGAATCAAATGGCCGTGTAATGGCGCGAACTGGCGCAAACTGGCGCAACATTTTGGAGCAAGCCGGGTGGCATTTGGCGCACACCATATGGCACCCAGTTTATTCCACTTGGCGACACATGCCGAGCGGACATTTATTCGGCGCCACAGCGAGCCACTACGCGCCAATCACATAATCTTTGGCGCGAACTGGCACCAACTTGCGCTGGCCCAGTGGACTCCTAGCATAAGAACGGTCACCGACGCCGACATTCCTGACAAAGACGGTCACTTTCCTTTGTAGGAAAATAATAGAATTAAGTTTGTTGATACGATAGATAGCCCAATGAATATTGCGGTACGTTATTTGGAGAAGTATTAATATGTTATTTAGTTTATAAAAAGAAAAAATATATATTTCTTTTTTTCGTGGCAACATAATTATTAACTTTAATATATAAATGACTTCCACACCTCGAGAAATGACTAATGTGATCAAACCATGTTAAATTCTAATCAATGTTAAAAATTGATAAAATAAATGTCGTTAATATCAATATTGTGAGGAGTATTAGCTACATGGATATATATAACGTGTGTTAAATGCATAAATTGTGTTTTCTGAAAATTGAGAGAAACCCTATTGCACTTCGAAACTTTAAGTAATTCAACATTTGAAATAATGTTCTAAAATTTGTTGTCCTGTTGAAAATAAGAAATGTCAGTGTCATCTGGAAATAAGATGGAAAATAAGAAATGATGACGTATGAATTATTAAATTAATATACATTAAAAACATAAGCGTGTCCAGAATAGATCCCTGGGGACGCAACATACAATTAGAAGGCTCAGTGAAGCAATTACATTGAATATAGTCCATTGCTCTCAGTTACTTAAATAATTATTAAACCACGAGAGCGTTGAACACCACACACAACAAGAATAAAGTAACGTGTCGAACGTTTTACTAAGGTCTAAAAGTATTCCAGTGATATATTGCTTTTTGCATTGCCGTCATTACATTGGCTATTACTAGCAAGTGCGTAAAATCCTTCATTGTATTAACACAGATTAGATATGAGTTTTACAATGTAATGAATTATTCCCTTCACAAGTCAAGTACTAATTGTTAATTGTTAGGATGTCTAAGTATACAATGATCTAGTAATTTTAATTATTTCATTAGAGTAAGGAAATTCAGAAAGAGAGATGCCTGATCTAGTTCTTAACGAATTCCTTTAATGACCATTATTTGGAGTAGCAATTTTGGAAGCAAATAGGGGACCAATAGTAGTGAAAATGAAGTAAAGCAATTAGCATAGTTATTAGAAACTGTAATGTTGCTTTCATTAAAAATAAGATTGTATTTTGGTAAAGGTTTTTATGTTGTTACAATGACTTCTCTGACAACTTTCGATGTGGCGCTCGATTTGGATTTCACTTTTGTTATTTATTGAAAAGTGTTGTTTATCAAAAAAGTACCGAAACGAATAAACTTTGTTACAGTGAAATTAATAAATTCATTTCGGTATGTTTTATTAACACGTAAACTTGTATCCGTCGGGTTACCCAAATGTTGTTCATTAATTCGATTTCTTGTTTGAATTTATTTGAATATGCCTCAATGGGTTCATAATATATATATTACGATTACGTGTATTTTTTTACACATGAATATTTTTACTGTGAGGAAAATGTAGCTATGAATTAAGAATCGGATATGCAATATTCAAATCATATGTTTTGAGG